CAATGGCTGGCGCTGTGCCAATCCGAAGCCATGAGCCAGGAGCTTCCTCCCAGTCTCCCACGTGGGTGTAAGGGCCAAGGACTTGGGCCATCCTTTACTGCTTTCCCAGGCCATAGCAGAGAGCTGGATCAAAGAGGAGCAGCCGGGGCTAGGACCAGTGCCCATACAGGATGCCGGCGCTTCAGGCCAGGGCTTTAACCCACAGCACCACAGTGCTAGCCCCGACAGGATAGATTTTAAAAAGGGAATGTTATTTTTTTTTAATTTTAATTTTTATTTTTTTAACTTTTATTTAATGAATATAAATTTCCAAATTACGGCTTATGGATTACAATGGCTTCCCCCCCATAACGTCCCTCCCACCCACAACCCTCCACTTTCCCACTCCCTCTCCCCTTCCATTCACATGAGGATTCATTTTCGATTCTCTTTATATACAGAAGATCAGTTTAGCATACATTAAGTAAAGATTTCAACAGTTTGCTCCCACACAGAAACATAAAGTGAAAAATAATAGATGATTTTTTAAATGATGATGAAATCAGATCAGACCTATTGTCATGTTTAATCCCAGTGAGAGTCAATTTGGGAATTGATAATTTCTTCTTTTTTTTACAGAAGATCAGTTTAGTATACATTAAGTAAAGATGAAAAGCCCGTACCTTTCTCTGAAGGGAGGAGAGAACCTCCACTTTGACTATGACCTTGTCTAAACAAGATAAGAGTCGGAGAACTCAAGGGGCTTCCATAGCCTTGGAAACTCAAGACTGGTGCATAGGGAGACTACTTATGCCATAAACAGGAGTGTCAATTTGTAAAGTCAACAACAGGAGTCACTGTGCACTTACTCGTCATATAGGATCTCTGTCCTTAATGTGCTGTACATTGAGACTTAATGCTATAACGAGTACTCAAACAGTATATTTCACTTTGTGTTTCTATGGGGAATGTTATTTATAAAATACAGAGACCTCCTAGTTCAAGTTTTTACCCAGTAGCTGTGCTGTGAGTGCTTAAGATGCCCCCAAATAACATGTGCCTTTGGGCACAAACCTCATTCTCCCACCATAACATTCATAGTATGTTATAACTCACCTAAATGTGGCAAAATATACAAGTCAGAAACAAAAAATGGAAAGGGGAAAGGAAAACAACACATGTACGCGATTGTTTACAGACCAACCAAAGCCTGAGATGGAATTTCAGCAGCTACATTTCTTTCTTGGCAAATGGGACTTTTATTACCTTCCCTGCAGATTATGTACAGAAGCTTCTGAGACAGGTTTTCTTAGAATCAGTCCACTTTGACTCATAGTGCAGTTGAAGGTGAAACAGTACGATTTCTTTTTTCATGGAGAAAACACGTACATATCATGAGATGATTTTCACAGCATACAGGCTAGACCCTGGCTTTGCATGGTTCATTTGCTTTCATTTTATCACACAAAAAGGTTTGCCATAATGGTGATGGAAAGGCAGAGGCAGGCTAACAGATTTCACCAGTACAACCGCACATTTCTGTTTGAGAGGAGTTGCTGTTTATTACCTGAGCAGATTACAAAAATCTTATAGGAGACACCTTAGTCCATCCTTCTAATAAGCTTGTTAACCTGGTCTTCTCTGTTGCCAGCATCTCCACCCTCTACAAAGTGGGTGGTCCTTTTCCTCATCCTACCTCGTGGAGAAGATGATTTGAAGGACCACAGGAAGTTATTTGCTTCCTGGCAGTGTTGTTCTCCAGCAGTATGGATCTCACCAGTCAGATCCTCCATGCAGACAATGTTGCATTCACAGGATGAGGGGCAGTCCCAGAGCTATCTGTCAAGGCAGTTCGCTTCTTCCTGATTTTGCCAGAGCACACTTCTAAGTTAGTTCTCTACTGACTTCAGATTCAGGTACCCCGTGCAGTAGATGGGTCCACAGTCCTCATGGTATTAACTGATATTTTACTGAGCTCAGCAAAGGTGCCTCTGGAGACCTGGCAGAGGCAAAGGAGCTACAGCACCTTTCTGACTCGGGGCTCACACCACTGAGACTTCTGATCCTGAGGACAAGTGCCAGTTTGGGTCCTGCAGGTGCATAGCAGTCGCCGGCTTTTCTCGCCATCCTCACTCTCCAAAAGGCAGTTTTGTACCTCCACCTGTATTCCTTGTGAGAGGCGTAGCTTTTTCTTAGGTGAGCTTCCTCCTTGCCTTTCGAAGCTTCTTTGGGCACACTTCTTTCTCTGTGAATTTCCTCCAGTTTAATGAGGATTTCTGGCACAGCAGGAACCTTCTTCTCTTCGACAGCCTCCGTGCTGCCAGCAGGAAAAGAGGCCACATCGCTTGTTTCTGTTTAATCTTTGTTTTTCCCTTCTTTCTGCTAACTTTAGTCTTAGATTTTTTTCTAATTACTTGAAGCTTAGTAATTAAGTAATTCTAATAACTTGAAGCTTAGCTGTTTGTTTCATAATTTTCTTTTTTTTTACAACGCAAGCCTCTATCACTACAATGGACTGAATGTTAATGTCTCAGCCAAATCCATTTGTTGAAAATACTAGTGCCCAAGCTGATGTTATGAGCAGATGGGCCTTCAGATGGAGATTAGACTACTTTGTGATCATGACTCTTTCTTTCTTTCTTTCTACCTTTCTTTCTTTTTTTAAAGATTTATTTGTTTTTATGAAAGACACAGTTACAGAGAGGCAGAGAGAGAGGCAGAGAGAGAGAGAGAGAGAGAACCTTCTATCCACTGGTTCACTCCCCAGATGGCTGAAATGGCCAGAGCTGTGCTGATCCAAACCCAGGAGCCAGGAGCTTCTTCTGGGTCTCCCATGCAAGTGCTGTGGCTCATGGACTTAGATCATTCTCCAATGCTTTCCCAGACCATAGCAGAGAGCTGGATTGGAAAGGGAGTAGCCAGGTCTCAAACTGCCACCCATACAGGATGCCAGCACTGCAAGCAGCGGCTTTACCTGCTACACCACAGCACCGGCTGCATGACTTTTTCTTGATGAGCCCAAAGTTACAATATTGACCTTGCAGCTCCCAAATTTCATAAATAAAAATTAGAGATATTTGCTTTTAACATTAAATTTGCATTCTTGATTTTATTGTAACTCTATCTAATTCCACAAAAGAAACCATCATCACTTATTTGGCAAAATGCTTGCAAATAGTTTTTCTTGGGAGAACCACAGGGAAATAGCGTTGCTCAGCTGAGAGCCCCTGTGGTCCTTCACTGAGATGGCTGTATAATCAAGGAGATCCTCTCTCCAAGCAGCTGTAACGACCAGGCAACAGATTTTAGTGCCTCCTGTGCCCTTTTTGTTTTAAATTTCAGGCTTAATTCAGATACATTTTGCATGACAAATACTGGACCTTCTTTTGCTACACATCTGTGTCTCCCAAAGCAGAGGTAGACCTATGAGTCACGTGTGAGATCTTCGTTGTCTGCCTGTCTCAGTATGCTCCAGCATCATAAGTGATCCAATATCAGTTTTAGCCGCAATCACACCTTGATTCTGATGCCTGCTGGCAGTGGATTTGGACAAGTAGTTCAGCTGTTTCTCAGTGTGTGATACTTTATTTCTAAGTAGTAAACAATACTCATTTTTGATATTACTGTCATCTTTCTCTATGGATGGTCTTCAGAAAGTTCATGGGAGAAACTCTGCATGGATTTTGAAACTTTTTGCACCAAAATTTCTGAATTCCATTTTTCATGAACTTTTTCAAGTTCCCTCACATATTGTTGTTATCGCTACAAAAGATGATAAGTCAAATATAAACCCAAATAGGAAATGATACTTAACACCAAACCAGGTAGGAGAGTAGGCAGTGTGGCGCAGCAGGTTAAGCCACCACTTGGGAGGCCTGAGGTCAAGGCCCTCCTCTGCTTCTGACCCAGCCTCCTGCTACTGCATGTCCTGGGAGACTGCAGGCGATGATTTAAGGACTTGGGTTCCTGCTAGCCACATTGGCAATCTGGACTGAGATACAGGCTCCAGACTTTGCATTGCCTGGGCCCAGCCCTGGCTGTTGCAAATATTTGGGCAGTGACTCAGTGAATGAAATTGTGCACTCTTTCCTCTCCCTCCCCCTCTCCCCCTATCCCCCTCTCTCCCACTCCTCCTCTTCGCCTCACCATCCCTCCTCACTTCCAACTAAGTAAATACAAACTTCGAAAACAGTTACTAAAACTTAATGAAAAAAAGCAAGAAACTGGACTGGGAGTTCACTTTTAGCTTGCTGTCATTTCTGCTTAGCTGTTTCTAACAAAATGTAAACTGCTGAAATGATGCACTCCTTTTTCTGCATTCTAACATTGGCAAATGTGTTGTTTGATCAGCACAGGTGTGGAAATGAGGCTCAGACCGCATCAGCTCCCTGCAGTGTTGCCTTTACTGAACTCTGCATAGCCTGGATCTCGTCAGCCTGTATGGCAAGAAAGCCCTGGGAAAATTGGCCAAGAGCCTACTGAGAGAACTTTCAGGAGGGAATGCTCTCTGGCTTCGGAATCCGGCATACCTCTCCCTTCCCAGGAGTAGAAAGGAGCCAGACTCTAAGTTACAGACTACATCACTGATCTGTCTCTCTCCTCAGAGCATTTCCCACCTGAAACAATGGCATGGGTCCCTCTCTCTGCTCCTCAGGCCTCTGTCCTGTCTGTATTTTATGTCTCACCTGGTAGCTTTTGCACAGTGTATCCCAGGTGCCGGGCACTGTCCCCTCTTAGATCTGCCTTCAACCAAATACATCAGGTAGCCCTCTCTCTCTAGACCCTGTCTTCAGACTCTAGTAACCTGCCTCTCCACTTGCCTGTTCTCGCCTGAAGACAACCACAGCACCCAGGGCTTGCCATGGAGGTCAACAGGTTGTCTTGTGGGCATCCTGCCCACAGCTTTGAAAATGTCCTCCTCGTTAAAGTATCCTGGAACAACCCAGGCTGAGGTTGTGCTGAGCCTCCTGCCAGGACCCTGACAGTAATCGCTGATACTCACTTTTTTAAGAAGAGATTGATTGGTTGGTTGGTTGGTTTATTCATATATTTGAAGGGCAGAGTTACAGAGAGAGAAAGAGACAGAGAGATCTTCTAACAGCTGGTCTAGTCATCAGACGTCTGCAACAACCAAGGCTGGGCAAGGCTGACACTGGGAGCCTGGGATGCCATCCAGGTTTCCCATGTGGATGGCAGGGCCAAGTACACTGCTTTCCCAGGAGCATGAGTGCGGCCAGTGCTGGGACAGAGAGACGAAGCCTCAGCCTGCAGTGCTGGCATCCCAAGTTGGTGCTTGTTCGAGTCCCAGATGCTCCACTTCTGGTCTGGCTCTGTGCTGGTGCACCAGGGAGAGCAGTGGAGATGGGCCAAGAGCTTGGCCCTGTACCCTCGTGGAGACCTAGAAGAAGTTTCTTGCTCCTGGCTTCAGATTACCCCAATCTGGTTGTTGTGTCCATTTGGGGAGTGAACCAGCAGATGGAACACCTTTCTCTCTGTCTCTGCTTCTCTCTTTCTGTAACTCTGCCTTTTGAATAAGTAAGTAAATCTTTGAAAAAATAAATAATAAATAAAAAAAAAAAAACACTGATCATTGAGGGCACTTGGTGGAGAATGCTGTGCAGGTCAATGGCCTCTGGAGCATCAAGCTAAGCTGGGGTTCAAAGAGCAGATCCAACCACAGTGTCCATCGGCCCCCTAAAACTATGACCAGCCCTTCTGCACCAGGGATGTGCCACTAAGTCCTGTAAGTAAGAGAGACAAAGAAATGCGAGAATGACAAGGTTTATGAAGAGGAATGATGCCAGCTTTAATGACGTCAGAGGTGGGAAAGACACTGGTTTGGACATGCAGGGCACTTTGCAGTGGAAGGCACAATTTCAATCTGTGGTTCTGAGAACCTGACTTAATGCTTTCATGCACAACAACAGAATTCCTCCCCGGAGAAATGGCACATTATGGTTTGTGCTAGCGAGATGAGTGCTTTTCATCATGCATCATTTTTTCATCATGCATCATTTTTTAAGACTTACTTATTGTTTGAAAGGCAGAGTTACTGCAAGGGAGAGGCAGAAAGAGAGAGAGAGAGAGAGAGAGAGAGAGAGAGAATCTTCCATCAGCTGGTTCACTCCCCAAATGGCCGCAATGGCAAGGGCTGGGCCAGACTGAAGCCAAGAACCAGGAGCTTCCTCAGGCCTCCAACGTGGATGCAGGGGCTCAAGCACTTGATACATCTTCTGCTGCTTTCCCAGGTACATTATTAGGGAGCTGGATTGAACATGGAGCAGCCGGGTCTCAAATCAGCACCCAAATGGGATGACAGTGCTGCCAACAGTGGCTTTCCCTGCCACCCCACGGCGCAGGCCCCCATCACGATTCTTAAGGAATTTGTAACACTGAAACACAGAAGAAAATATTCATCTAAATCTATCAGCTAGGGGCGGTGAGAAGAGGACGCCCCCACCCCCCAGTTCTTAGGGCCACCTGAGAGAGAGCCTGCTGGATCTGCTGGAAGCTTTTTCCCACACTGAGTGTCGCAGGCCATGACAGAGTCTCTCAGCATTTTACCCAGGACTGTCTTCGTTTCCTCGGCAACTATCTTGAGGCAGCGTCTATGTTTCATCTGTCTAAAGTATGGAATGACACAGCTGCGTAAGCCTGGGCACAAGCTAAGACAGAAGAAGAACATCTTCGTGACTACAAAGGTCATGGCCCAGAGTTTCCAGTCCCTCCAGCGGACACGCTGCACATCGTGGGACCTCATGACGCTCGTGTAGTCTGTGAGCGTGCTCCTCTTGCTCTGCTCATACCCCCTGAGAGCTTCACCGTTTACACCAAACACTGATCGGTAGGCTTCCAGACACTCGGCCAAGTCATCTGCATACCAGAAGCCCAGGAAGCCTTGCAGAGGTTGTAGAGTAATTTTCCGCTGCATGGACGCCACTCTGTGGCTGATGATCTTCTCGCAGGCATGCATGAGGTGTTGAAGAGGGCCATCGCATCTGACTCGGGACAGGTCCCTTTGCAATGTGTCTCTGAGACCTGGGAAGTCGTGTGAAGAAGGTTTAAGGCTGGAAACCAGGAATATGGGGGGTTCGCACACTCGCTGCTTCTGGAGACTTCTCAAGATGTGGTTTTTGATGGTCTGTTGTAGCTCACACCCTGGGAGGGTGCTTGAGCTGAGGTCCAGGTCCAGCTTGGTCCAGACAATGTAGAACTTCTTTCCCATATCCGCGATGGTTTTGGCGAGCATCACGTGATTCATGCTGAACTGCTGGGACACGATGATGATGAAGAGGTCGTACTGGCTGAACTGCATTTCCACATGATACTCCTGCAAGGTATCAGTAGCCACCCCTGTGCCAGGCAGGTCCCACAGCACAGCCTTTGGAAACAGGGGGGATGAATAGGCAGCACGGGTTTCGGTAGTTGTGACCACCCCCGTGGGTGCTGAGGCCTCCTCCTCATGTCCTATCTCGCGAAGCGCATTGATGAAGGTGGACATGCCATTGCCAGATTCTCCTGTCACCGCGATGTTGACTGGCGTCTGGGACACCAGCTCCAGAGGCCGCCTCATGTCAGAGACCACCTTCAGCAAGTTCCCGTCTTCTAAGTCTTTCTCAATCTTCACAGCCTCATCCTTGGATAAAACACCCCAGTCCTGATGTGACATAACCGAGGTCAAGGATGCAGACAGTAGAGTGGGAGGGGACCGCGAGAACACCCCCATATTGGTGTAACCTGCAGAAATAGAACCAGTGAGAATGAGGAGCACAATAGGGCAGTAGGATCACCTGACTTATCATCCCCAAGCTCAGGGTTTATCTGCCAACAAACCATGGCAAAGACATTGGATTGCAAACAAAGCCAGCAACAAGTGCTCACTCAGGCAGTGTGCACGTTTCTCCATGTGAATGTGAAGGACAGGGTCCTCGTGGAATGCTGGAGGCTGGCTGTGCCTCCATAGTAGCACCGTGGTTGGAAGAAGACTTGGGGAGCAGAGGACCCTGCTTTCCCAAAAAGTCCCATGAGAGAGTTCCTTTGGTCTTTTACACTTTTACTCTGTCCTAGTGTGATAAGCCTGCTCCTTCCTAATTTTCAGTTGCTCTTTCAGGCAATAGTCACCTATATATTTCTCTCCTGTAGGTGGCACCAGAGAACACAAAGCAGCCAGTTCCCATTGCCTGTATGAAATTGTGGTCTGGCTCTGCTTCTAACACTTGACCTCCTCATTGGGCAGTTGAGCACAAGCTGAAATGCTGCAGTATCAATAAGGCAGCTGCCGCCTTTTCCCCTTCCATGAGCTTGCATTAGATTTTCGTACAGAGGAAGGAAGGGAGAGAGCGAGGGAGGAAGACAAGGAGGGAGGGAGGGAATCTTCCCAGAGTCCTGCTCTTCTTCAAGGCACTGCCTAAACAATTGACCATCATTGTATCCTCAAAACCTAGCTCTTCTTTCTCTCTGTCTCTCTCTCTCACTGTCTAACTCTGCCTGTCAAAAAAAAAAAGGTCGGTGCCACGGCTCACTAGGCTAATCCTCCACCTGCGGCGCCAGCACTCCGGGTTCCAGTCCCGATTGGGGCGCCAGTTCTGTCCCGGTTGCTCCTCTTCCAGTCCAGCTCTCTGCTGTGGCCTGGGAGGGCAGTGGAGCATGGCCCAAGTGCTTGGGCGCTGCAACCACATGGGATACCAGGAGGAAGCACCTGGCTCCTGGCTTCGGATCAGTTGAGTGCGCCGGCTGTAGCGGCCCTTTGGGGGGTGAACCAATGGAAGGAAGACCTTTCTCTCTGCTTCTCTCTCTCTCACTGTAACTCTACCTGTCCAAAATAATAATAATAATAATAATAATAATAATAATAAAACCTAGCTCTCCCAGGTTCCCCATGGATCCAGGTTTGCAGACTGATTTAAAAAAACACGAGGTGCCGAGCATTTGCCTAATGGTTAAGATAGTGTTTGGGATACTTGCATTTCATGCCAGAGTGCCTGGGTCCTAGTCCCAGCCCTGCTCTTGATTCCATCTTCCTGCTAATGCACACCCAGGGGGCAGCAGGTGATGTCGCGTGTACTTGGGTCCCTGTCACCCATGGTGGGAGACCCGGATTGACTTCCTGGGCTTCTGGCTTCAGTCTGGCCCAGCTCCAGCTGTGGCAGGCATTTAGAGAATGAACCAAATAATGAGAAATCTCTCTTTCTCTGTGTCTCTGCTGCTCAAATAAGTGAAAGAAGTTTTGAAAAAAAAAATAGGGGATTTTTCTTCTAAACAGGGAGACCATTTCATAAACTGAGTTCAAATGCACAAATATATAACTCTGGACATCCCCTCACACTCCCTGTGCACACTGAACCAATTGGGTGTGCACATGTGCCCATGCCAAATCATTTTCACTCACTTCTCCATATACATTCACTCACCATTGGCACACACAGTACACTGTCACATGCACACACTCCCTCACACAGGTACATGTTCACACTCAATAACATACTCAAGCTAAACACAAACACACAAACACACTCTGTCCTGCTTGCTGCACACACTTACATGCTCACTCACATCTCCACGTGGTTACTCACCTGTACACACAACTCATTCATGGGGTCACATCCACACAAGTCCGGTTTTGGCGATACTCACACTCTGTGTACAATGCTTGTGTCTTCTCTCAACAAGTACAGACTCTTATAATTGTTCCCTAAACAAGACACTCTAAGAACTATTTACTTAGGATTTGCACTATATTAAGTATCATAAGTAACTTAGAGGTTATTTAAAGTATGAGTCAGTTTAAATTTTTAATTTAGTAACATTAAGTACAGGGTAGCTTGTGTACAGAATACATGTGAATACTACACCATATTATAAAAGGGACTTGTGCAGATTTTGCTCTCTGTGCAGGGTAGGAGACTGTGGAACCACTTCTACATGGATACCAAAGGATAACTACATTTCCAGACGTTTTCTGTGACCATGTCTATGAACTGAGCCAGCGTCTCCCAATCCATCTGCTTACCTGAGCCCCATGGAGGCAGCCTTAGCCCCTCCCAACCCCTCAGCCTGCAGAATCTACATGTGCCTGATACGGGCACGTGCACACACACACATAAACACACAAGCACACAGATGCTCCTTAAAGTCATCCGCAAAGGAACTGTGGGGTAAGGACAGGGATCTCTACTGCAAACACACGTTTCAGTTTAGAGGAATTGAAAGGGCAGGAGGACACCTAACCTTTGGACCCTACCCGCCAGATCTTTATTTCTGAGCAAGGTGGCCCAGCAGGGTGAACCAACTGATGGGCTAGTCTAGGCTAACCCGGCCATTGCCTCTGATGATCCCGATCTCACGTTGAACATCCAGAGGTTTGAAAATAGCATCTGAGGAATATGAGTGGCATATCCTACCTTTGTCCAAATTAATCCCTCTGAGAAAACTCCTAATGCCAGGGCATCTAGGTAACCGAGCTGCGCTTCCCCCACCCCCTTCCCTCCCTTCCTCTTTCTGTCTTTCATGGCTTAGTATCTGAGAAGGTTGCACTCATGCCCTGACCATTGTCACAGAGACCAGCTCTGGATTCACCAATGACATGAAACAAGCCAGACCCCAGAGCTTCCTTATGCTTGGTGTCAGGGCTTCACCTCCCAGTGTAGCAGAGAAGCCAGTTCACAGCCAGTTCTCCATCCTGAGAGCCCCCTCACTTACCAGTTGCTGGAACAGAGTGTCTGTGATCTGGGGGCACAGGGCACTCCTGCTACTTCGCCTGCTCCCTGGGGAGGGGGTCACAGCCCTTCCGCACAGAGGCAGTTCCTGCTGAGATGGTCCAAAACTTGATTTCAGGTAAACATGGAAAGATGGAAGCGAGGGATGAGGATTGTGCTAGGAAGAGCAGAGAATGACCTGAAGCAGAGTGAAGGGAAAGGGCCAGACTGCGAAGCTTAAGAGGCTTGGCGCACTCACCCTCCCCTCCCGGTATATGAAAGTCCTCCCCTAGCCATGCCCCCACCCTGGGAGAGGGAGATCATGTGAGGGCAGTTTTCAGTTTCTGTTCCTGGAAGTGAGTCTTTTCCCTGAACAGCAGAGCAGAAATGCTTTCGCTTTCTCCTGCCTGAAGGTGCCAGGATACTAAAGATCCAGAAAGCGGAGCAGCTCTGACCTTGGCCCAGATGGGAGGAGAGGCCCCTTGGGATTCCTGCTGCCTTTGCAGAAGCACTGCCCCAGGGCCTACCTGACAAGGGGCCCCTGGCTGCCTCCTCACCCTATGTCCATGTCCTTGTGTGTTGGCACTGAGTCCTGTGTGACTGTCAACATTCTACCTCCAGTGAGGCCTGGGCTGCAGGTGAGTTGAGACACATTGAAAGTTGTCCCCTTGGCTGCCTTGCCTCTGCCCAGGTCTAACATTTACACCCAGCACAACCCCCTTTCAAGTTCTTCCCTGGTCTGTTGTGGGTACTGGGCACAGGGTGCTCAATTGTCCTGTCCTCCTAACTCTGTAGACCGTGCGCATTGCTTCAAGTCCCCGTGACCTCCTCCCACCCAACAAATACCTGCCTAGCCCACTGTCTTGCTCCTGACCACTGACCACAGCACTTTCCACATCTGGGTCTGTACTGGATGACAGACTCAGAAACCACAGGCACCACAGCTGTGCTGTTTGCTCAGCATCATCACATCGTGGATGTGTCCTGGTGGGGCCAAAAATACCAGGGCATTACCGTTGAAAGAGGCCTTTGAGATGTGAATAGCTCACACAGGCTGTGCCCTTATGAGTGGTATAAGAGGCCTCATGGAAGGCTGGGGAGCCCTGTGCACCTCTGCCTGTGAGGGCACATCCAGGCTCCATCCATGCAGCAGAGCAGTCCTTGACAGACGCTGCATCTCCTGGAGTTGATCTTGGACTTGCCCGTCTGCACAACTGTGAGCAGTAAGTTTCTCTTGTTTTTAGTTACCCAGAGGAATTTTTTTAAGATTTGTTTATTTATTTATTTGGAAGGCAGAGTTACAGAGAGGCAGTGAGAGAGAGGTCATCCATCCGCTAGTTTACCCCCCAGATGACAGCCAGAGATGGGACAATCTGAAGCCAAGAACAGGAGCTTCTTCTGGGTCTCCCATCAGGTGCAGGGGCCCAAACACTTAGGCCATCATCTACTGCTTTCCAAAGCTATGGCAGAGAGCTGGATAGGAAGTGAGCATCCAGGACTTGAACAGGCGCCCATGTGGGATTCCAGCACTGCAGGCAGTGGCTTTACCCACTGTGCCACAGTTCCAGAGGAAGTTTCTCACAGTAGCAATCCAAGCTCTAAGACAGCCGGCAACATAGAGAAAGTCAAGGTTTAGTCTCAAGCATTCAGGACTTGCTGTGTGACCCTGGACAGCAGATAAACCTCAGTGATTCTCCTACCCTTCGTCTTAAACTGGGGACACTGGGCAAAGCCCTCCAGGGTGTGTGAAGTCAGGGAGGGGCTTCCCAGAGCAAGGTGCTGTGAGACCTGCGCAGAATGACAGCGTGTGCTTGTGTGCTTGTGTGCTTGTGGAGGTCAGCAGAGCTGAGACAGTGATGGAAACCACACAAGCAGCCAAGAGATGGAGAAATCGGCTTTGTATCTGTTGACTTCTGGCCCGGGTCAGAAACAGATCAGGCTCTGATTAGGAAACAGGACAGCATGGAGCATTTTAAATAGTGTGGAGAAAACAACAGGGAAAATATAGGAAAAGAAAAATTTAGTGTGGGGCTGTGCTGTCACCAAGGCCCACAGTGCACAGGACAGAGGTCCCAGGGCCAGACCTGGTAAGTGCAACAGGACTGGGGCTGCCCCCCTCTTGCAGGGACCTAGGAGGCTGTAAAAGGCCCTGGTCTGGGGGCTTTTCCAGTCCCAAAGGGGATGTGGGAGGGAGCCCCTGGGCCCCCCGCACCAGACCCTGGGCAGCAGAATGGCCTTTCCACCCCAGAGGCCAGTGAGCCCACACGGCAGCTGTGCTACACAAATGAGACTTTTCCTGCCACCCCCAGCTGCCTCTCCTCTCGCCTGCCACCACCCTCTCCCACCCACGCCCCTTTAAGGGTCCCAGAGAGCAGAGGACATGGAGGAAGAAGAGGCCAGAGGCCACTCTTCCCTTGTCCCTGCTGCGGACTGCTCCCTCAGGGGAGGGTCTTTGGAGAATGCAGTCTGAGGAGGGTCTGAGGCTTGTTGCTCAGGACTTCCTGTCACCTGGGCATGAGCAGGAGGGAGGATGTTCCCTGAGCGTGGCCAGAGAACTGAGGAACCTGGTCCTGTGCGAGCTAACCGTTGGGGAGCAGCGATGTGGGGCAGGTGGGGAGAAGGCACCCAAGCTGCTGTCAGTGTTTCCAGGGCAGATTCGGCTACGCCCTCCACTCCCTCTCACCGCAGGCTCCTCAGGGAAAAGGAGGTGAGTGGGGGGAGAGGGAGGCTGAGCAGCCCGCAGGCCGGCAGGGCTGGGGTCGGGGGATGACCCCCGTGGTGAGTTGGGCAGGGGAAGATGCACTCTCACTGGCACTTCAGTGACCCCAGAATCCTGTCCACCACCCCCAAAACAGCTGTGCTTCCTACAGACCTGGGCACATCAGTGATCTGTGCACAGGAACCCTCCCGGGCTGAGAGCCAGGCCGGCCAGCTTGGCTTCCTGCCCTGCGTGCACATGCGTGCCCTTCCACCCCCTGCCCTGCGTTTCCACATGGAACCTGAGCTGCAGTTAGAGCCCTTCACTTTCGTGTTCCCGGAAAGAGCCGCTGTGTGGGGAAGAGGAGAACACAGGTCTGCTTTAGCTGTCCTTGTCTTGTTCATGAATAGCTCCCCCCACCTCCCCCCACCCCCGTAGCCTCCAGCACCCTCACACCCTTTCACAGCCAAACGGGGCCTTTCTCCTCCATACACTCAGAACGGAGGGGACCAATCAGGTGTGAAGCTCCCTTCCCCACCAGTCAGATTGGAGACATCATCTCTGTGTCAGGACTCAGTGGATTTATTTGAAAGGCAAAGTAGCAGAGGGGCAGAGGCAGAGGGAGAGATCCTCCACCCACTGGGTCACCCCACCCCCCAAATGGCCACACAGCCAGACCTCAGTTTAGGATAACTTGGGGGCTGTGGGACACCACTACGGACACCTCTAATCTGCCCTTTGATGTCTAGATCCCATGCAGGTTTCTCTCTGATGAGAATCCCCAGTCTCTTGCCGTCACTGGGCCCCACTCAGCTGGAGCAAGGCAGCTCACGGTTTCATGAGCCCTTCTCCCCTTCGTGTCAGCAGTCAACAGTTGCCACAGCAGAAGCAGCATCCACCCATCAGAGTGATGCTCCTGCAAAGACTGCAGGGCAGAGGCCAGAGCTGGACAAGGCCACATGGGAAGGCAGCACATTGCTGAGCAGTGTGACATAGGGACAACTGGTGCCCTACTTATGGCCAGACCATGACCAGGACTACTCAGGCACAGGGAGGGGGGCATCTGTCTGGTGGAAGAGGAGTCTCTGGGCAGAGCTCTGAGGTCCTGGGCTCTCCTTCCCTTTGTGTCTGAGAGTCACCCTTAAAATGAGGCTTGGTTTCACTGGGGATGTGTGAAGGAGGAGGAGGAGGGACAATGCAGATGTGGTATGTGAGAATGCCTGAGGGCTTTCCCGATTCACAGTCTATGATGACTGCCCAGTTCCAGAGGTTGGCCACTCAGGGACGCAGGATGCAGAGTTCGTTGTGCAGCTCCAGCACCGGGCCGGCCCGCCCAGGAGCACAAGAGCCACTCTCTGTGCATCTAGCTCTCAGCAGGAGGAAGAGGAGGAGGAGGGGATGACCAGAGACAAGGGTTGCTCCCCATCCAGTGCGTGGCGGCTGTGCCTCCATCCAGCTGCTCAGTCATTGTCCCTTTTGCACTTTTAATCTAAGCCTGTTACTGACGTTGCCTGGGCCACCATGGCAATATGCAAAATATTTCTCCCACAGAGATGCCCAAGCACAGATCCACAGAACTCCCTGCCATTGAGCTCAGAAGCCTGTGGCACACAGCAGGGAGCACACTCGGGAAGGGGGCTCTATGCTCTCGGTAGATCCTGGCATCACAGAGCTGCCTCTGCTGGGGTTTGCCATTTCCCAACTTCTTAAGGAAGAGATGGAAAGCAAGACTGAGAAACAGACAGACTCAGGGTGAGACAGAGATAGACAGAGAGAGGCTGTGCCCTGGCCAGCCACTTCTACTGAGCCCTGTGTCCTCCCAGCAGGTCTTTGTGCTTTAGAGCTGTCTTCAAGCCCAAGGAGCCCATTTGCCCAGGGTGACTGGCAGCCCGGAGCGTAGAGGCGGTGGTATCACGGTGAGTGCCCTCAGCAGTGTGAGCAGGGAGCTGCACCCGTGCTGCTCGCCTTCTCCAGCTGTACAACTGGGGGAATCGGGCATGGCAACATGATCACAACTTGTCTAAGGCAGGATAGATGGCTGGAACTGGCAGCTTGTTCTGCACCCTGCTTTTGTGGAGCCCAAACCCTGTTCCCCTCTAGGGGAAACACCTTCAGTAGGGTCAGGAGGTGAGGCCAGAGCGTGCCTCTCACAGCTGTGGCTTGCAAAGGATCAGAACACGCACAGCTCTTCTGAGCACACACCAATTGTGCCTGTTTACTCCTGAGCTGTGGACTGAGGCCCTCCGGGGTGGATCACTTACCCTACTGGCCCACCGCCCTTGGTCTCTCCTGCAAGCAAAGGTAAGTTAGTGCCTCTGCCAAGCAGACTTCCACGCAGCTTTCTTTGGAATTAGTGTTATCTGTGAGCACTCTGGACTTGAGGCTCCCATAGCATGACACAGACAGGTAGAAAACACAGAGATACGGCTGTGTGTGGCAGGCAGAGATAGTACTGTGTCTCCGTTATGTCTTTTGTTCCTTGAACTAATACAAAAAACTCTCATCCAGGACCTAAACCAGGGTAAGGTTGGAAAGGCCATACCCTTGTCTTAAAAAGGAGTAGATGATGACATATTTGACTTCAGGCAGCCCACAGTTCACATGGAGTACTCCATCTCGCCCAGTACAAATGCTGACACAGGCTGACCTCAGTAGGCTTTTTAAGTGACTCACCAGAATCTCACATTCCTAGAATGAGATGAGTTGCCATTGTATCGTGAAAAACACTGTCTACAGCTTTGGAAGGCAGGTGAAGTGCGTGGGGGAGACTTGCTTCATGTTTTTTTTTTTTTTTTTTTTTTTTAACTATAAGGATTTATTAGAAAACATGAGGGGAGGGGAGTCCAGAGGGCTCCTTCAGAGCAACCCCAGGGAAAGTTTTGATAATTTAAAATGAAATGCTTTTCACGCTGAACTGGTAACACTGCGAGCACACGTGGGTGGGGACAGGCTGCGCTCCTGCCCACAGGCCCTGCCCAGGCCAGGGAAGGCCTGGGAGCCTCGGCTCGGAGAGCGCCTTGGCCATGTCACTTCATGTACTTGTCCCGCTGGTCAGCCAGGATTTTGGCCGAGGACTTAGCGTCATAGAAAAGCTCACTGATCTCCTCGACGTGCTCCTTCTCGATGCTGTCCTTCCCATTGATTTTGGCCAGTAAGTTGGCCGGGGTCAGCAGCTGCACTGAGTACCTCAGAGTGGTCTTGGTACCGATCTCCCCCAGGTGGTTCAGTGCCTCCTCACTGATGTTGATTCCCTCTGTCTGGGCTCGGATTTTAATGATCTGCTTCATCTCCTGCGGGGTGTACAGCATGGTGCGGATGATCATCACTCGGTCCAGCAGGTCGAGAGGGATGCCGTGAGGAGAGGTAATGTCCTCGGTGCCTCTGATGACACAGTTGCCTCGGTTGGATGCGAAGATGACGATGGGGGCGATAGAAGATTCCAGGGCCCGGTGCAGGTACGTGAAGCACTCAATGTCCAGCATGTGAACCTCGTCAACAAACAGAACACCAGGGACCAGCTCCGCAATCCCCTGGTCGATGTACTTGTTCACCACCTTGTTAATCTCCCCTCGAAGTTTGTCTGTGATTTCTGTCTTCTTTGGTTTCATCAACTGGCCCATCATGGACAGAATATCTTGTCCTCCCTGGGGCCGTGCATTAGCCACATCCAAGTCATGCAAGGTCACATCCTGGATGATCTCCTTCTTCTTATGCACATCCCCCTTTGGCAACGGGACATACTCTTCAGCTTCAAGGTCGAATTCTGTGGCATAGGTATCACATCTGCCTTGCCTCTTTACAGCCCCACTGTTGGCTTCGATGTAAATCACATCCCCAGCCTCCACTCGCTCTTTCTGCAAACTTTCAAAAATGCTGGGGTCCAGCTTCAACTGTTTGGTTCCTTTGGCTGTTTTGAGTCCTATGATCACATGGCTAATGGTTTTGCCATACCCTCCCATGGGGTTCTCTGTCTCACACGGAGTCAGTTCTGTAACTTCACCTTCATACACTTCCTTGGTCTCCTTTATCCGCAGCCCAATGGCCCTGCGGAAGTTCTCCATCAGCACCTCTGTCTTCTTGATCTCCGTCGAGTAAACTTCACTGCCCACCATGGGACAGAAAGGGACCTTACTACCCAGCTCCTGAGCAATAGCCAGGGCCAGAGCCGTCTTGCCAGTTCCAGGAGGTCCTGCCAACAAGACAGCTCTTCCAGCCATTTTCTTGCTTTTGATTAATTCTACTATGACGCCGCATGCCTCTCGCGCGTTCTCCTGGCCCACGAGCCCTGAGGCCGCCTGCTTGGCCAAGCCGCTCTCGTCCAGCCCCAGCCCCTTCACGTGGCTGTGGGAGGCGATGCGCTGCGTCTTCGTGGTGCTCTTCACCTCCTCAATTTTCATTTTTGCAGGCGACCGGAGCCAAAACCAACGTGGAAAATCAGAACCTACAACTGCGCGCCTTCATGGTTCTTCTAATACAACAAATAATATGCAGACTGGCAGGGTGCACTAACTAAATGCAAACTAAGCTCCACAGGTGCTGGAGGTGTGTCCCGGGGTGGGGGGTTCACCCACTGTCCACTGAGCCTCCCATCAGTTTACTGTTTCTTCTTCACCCCTGAGCTTTTTTTCCTTTTTCCTGGGTAGCAGATCTCTCGGCCATGAGGTCACTGAGACGTCGCTGAGTTCCTGCCACTCTCGAAAGAGCCAGGACCCCTCACTTTTCTCCAGACAGCTGAGTAGAGGCCAGGCACAGCCCTGAGCCTAAACAAATGACCTCCATGGGCATGGGCTTCTGTGGCCATGCAGTGGCAAACGGGACCACCACCATGTTGGTCTTTGTATTGGGGGATCTCTCGGCACTGCCCGACAGCGTTTGCCCAGGAGAGCGTCCTGTAGAAGGACTTCAGGTCATGGGGACAGGGTTATTAGTGACTCGGTTTTCTTCCTCACAGGCCATGATGATCAGTGGAATCAGTGGGACGAGGACTCCATTTCCCTCTGGCTCTCCATCCCCAGAGGGTTGCCTGCCAGAGACATCTTCACCAAGCTCTGCTCTATGGACACAAATGACGTAGTTGGGAGACTGTCTCCATGACCTCATTCAACTGCAGATGAGCCCCAGTGCCTCCTGGAGTTCCTGAGGAGCCCAGGTGACAGCACGGGTGTGCACGCTCCTGCAAGCTATGGGTTCTTGAATACCAGCTCCCCGTCCTTCTCGCTGTCTTCTCACTGCATGCCCCCTCCCACCCTTTCACACTCATTTGTCCTGCTCTCCTTCCTGTCCATAATGATAGCAGCAAGGTCTGATGGGGCTCAGTCTACAGCAGTCAGGAAACAGTGGCTGCAGGCAGGGACTGTCCAAGGTGACACTGCAGTTGGTGTTTGCCCAGGTCCTGGCTCTGTGTGACCCTTGGTTCAGGTTGCATTTGCAGAGTCAGGGAGTGGGAAGAAATGAAGTGTCCAGGACCATAAAAGACATCACAGCCTTGAAGCGACATTGCTTCTCTGTTCTCTCCTCTCTTTCCAAGCAATAGATTTCAGGCACTTCATTTATTATCTCAGGATACTTTTTCTTTGCTCAAAACTGACGGGTTTTCTGGTAGTATGGTGCTAATATTAGTTCAGTTTCACTTTCTTGTTCTTGGAAAAGGAGTAGATTCAGGAAAGGGAGCGCCTCCATTATCTCTGTGATTGCTCGTCATCACCCTGGGGGTGGGGAGAACAGAGTGAGGTTTCAGTCCTGCCCAGCTGCCTTATATCTGCTGCTTGCAGGGCCTTGGCACGAGTAGCTTCCAGGAGAAGAGCCTGGACCACAGCAGAAGACGACTCCTGAGCCTTGAACTCCTGCGAGCCAGCGACTCGACACAGGACTTCCTGGTAAGTCAGCAGCAGCATTCAGAGCTGATTTCTGTCCTCAGAGATGGCTTTTCCCCAAGAAGCTGATGGGCAACAAAACATCGTGGGATGAGGAGAGATCATGGGCTGAGGGCCCTGGGCTGCTCAGGTGGGAAGCCTGGGAGCCTGATGGCAGGGAGGCAGGATTGCTTCATCGCAGTCTGGGTCATCTTTCAAGGTAAGGTAGCTTAAAGCTAGTGCTTCGGACGTTACATCCTTGTCAAAATGCACCCAATCATTTGCCTTCCTCTAATGCTTCCCCTGGAAGAGTTAAAGGTAAGTGCATCAGAGTGTGTGTTGAGGGACATCAGTAGATAATGTATGAGGTTGGCTCTGTCTCAATCCTATGCTGTTTCCAAGTCGTGTTGTCTTACCTCTTCCCCTCCCCGTCAGCCTTGTTCATTCTGCACATCCTGCGGGAAGCTGCCTTGGGGTGAAGGATCACACTCTGCATGCCAGTGGTGCTCTAACTGAACAGTCATTTCTAGATCTGGGGTTCTTTTGGTTGTAATTTATGTGTTACTGTAAAGCAGGAATACTGATCATCCTCTCTCAGATTTGTGGAGAAAATAAAGCATGCTGAGATCCTTTGATTAAACAATACTCTGCTTCAGACTTGGATCTTGCTGTAGCAGTGATATCCCAAATCTAGGACCGTGCTGTGAGGTCAGGTGCCTGCCAGAGACATGACTGCATTGCACGCTCGTGCCCAGAGGACAAGGTCTCCCAGTCTAGGCATTAGTGAGATTTCAGGCCTGGCAATCCGTTGGTGTTAGGGGAGAGGAGGAAGGGAGGTCCTATGCTGTGCATTACAGGAGATTGAGCAGCACCCCTGGGCTCTGCCCAAGAGACACCAGTAGCATCTCACCTCCCAGTTACAACAACCAGAAATGTCTCCAGTGATTGCCAACTATCTGCAGGGGGACAAAATTACCCTGATTGAGAACCTGTGCTGGAGCCATATCGTGTCCTCAGAGTGACTGTGTTCAGCCCTTGATTCCGTGTCTGGGTGACCCGGTCCCTTTCCTTACATGTGAGATAACCCCAAAGATATTTTGGGGCCTTCGGTCAGGGTCTCAAGACATGGTTTAAGAGTGAGCCTAGGCCACTGCACACCTTGTACTCCCCATGACAGTACCTTTTTTCTTTGTGGTGCACATCTTTCGTGAGTGTCTGATCACTGGGTTTTGGCATAATTCAGGAGTAATGTACTTGAGATTTCACTGGAGTTATTGATAAAACTACAGATCCCACCAGCCAAAAATCCATTAAGGTGATTCATTAAAGCTGAAAGGGCCCTGTGTTTAATCTATCTGCTTTTGTCTCCTGTTTTGTTGTTTTTCCTGTAGGAAGCATTCAGCTTTGGTTGTGGCCAGGAGGGTGGCAGCCCTCCCTGTGGCTTGCAGGGACCCAGTGTCTGCAGTCAGGTGGAACAGAACTCGGCAGCTCTGTACATTGGCCCTTCAGATAATACAGGGGAGAGGGCTGCCTGTGTGGGGAGTCTCTATCGCTGTGTTGGCAATAGATGACTCTGAGGAAAGCCCCCAGTTTCTATCAGGATGTTCTTTGACCCTGGACAGAATCCCAGCATCTAGGCTGTGTAAATGGATTAAGCCTTCAATGCCCCATGGACCTGTTAGAGCCAGAAAACTGGCACAGCTGTTCACAAGAGCACTTAAGTGGCTCCCCCGATTTGCTCTTGCATTCATTCCCTAACTAGTGAATTATCACTTTCTTACATGTGTTGGTGATGGAGCAGTGAACAAGACAAAGACCAGTTCTGTCTCTCTGACACTCAAGTGTATTGTGGGAGGCTGACAGCAAACACACATAAAAATATCATGAAGTGTGGTGCCAAGTCCATAGGGAAAAGGAGGACAGAGAAGAGGAGGGTGAGTGCTGGGGAAGGGTACAACTGGACATCTCAGAGATGAAATAAAAATTTAAAGAAAGCTGGACATAATTTCAACAGAGAAGATTGATGGAATAAATAGTCACGTAGTTATCATGAAGAACAGTCAAGGAATTGGGGTGGTAAGTAAGTGCAAAAGTCCTGAGGTAAGAGCGTGGCCCAGAAACAGGAGGGAGGCTGCAGTTCAGAAATCAAGGGGGGCACACGCCCTCCCCTTGGCCATGTTCTGTTAGTGAGATGCCAGGTGCAGCTCTGGCCACCTCTGGAGGGAGGGAATTGAACAGTCCAGCAAACTGGGAAGCAGGGATGGTTGGAGCCCACCTCAGAAGACTGTCTAGTGCAGTGAGCTATTGGCATTTTTTCCTTCCTGCTTGTTCATTTTATCCTTTGGAGGCATCCTCTCGCTTTCACTGATCATCTCCTCAGCTGATGGAAACTGCTCATGTCTGCCATTCTGTGCTGCCAGAGCCAGTGCACTGATTCCTAGTTTCTTGGGGTAAGTGAGAGTAACCATGCAGGATGTGCCTACGTGGATACCAATGAACAAATATTCCTCATTTTATGTTTTCTTTCTTTCTTATAATATTGTGTTTTTCTTTATTCTCATAATTTTTCTGAGAAGAAGCGAGAGAGCCTTTCCAGTGGATCACTTTCCAACAGCCAGGACCAGGCTGGGCTGAGGTCAGTAACTAGGAGCTCAATCCATATCTCCCACGTGTGTTTCAGGGACCAAAGTACTTGAACCCATTGCCTGCTGCCCCCAAGGGTGCATCTTAACGGAGAGCTGGAGTTGGTAGCCAGAGTGGGTACTCACACCCAGGCATTCTGAGGTGAGAGACCGGCATCCTAATTGGCATCCTAACTGCTATGCCAAACAACCAACCTTAACCATTTCTTTCCTCAACCTACAGATTTTCCACTTTTTTCTTTTTAAAGTAGGCACATTATTCTTACCTTTTATATTGCTGGTTTTTTATACTATAATTGATGAGCTGAAACTGCTTATATTTATTGAAATTAATTTTGTATTAAGGCTTACTTTTGGCATCTTCTTTGCTGCTTTCTAATTGTTGAGGCTTAGCTTATGACGTCATTGTTTCTTTCCCTTCAATAGTTAAACTGAGTATCTTCCAAGTTATATCTCTGATTTATGTAAACACCTCCTCATAAGTGTGTAAAAAATATTGACAACTTGGACACCAATTTTCAGCTCATCTGGATTTATAATCCACTGGTGCATATCAGTAGGATTCTAGGTCAAAATCATCGTTCCTCTTGGAAACTGCATTCCAAATTTTTATTTACTAAATAAAATTTTTATCTTTTTTAAATTGATTTATTTATTTGAAAGGTAGAGTTACAGAGAGGCAGAAAGTCCTATATCCTGTGTAGTTAGAATCAGAGTGTCAGGGCAGCGCCGCGGCTCACTAGGTTAATCCTCCTCCTTGCGGCGCCAGCACACCGGGTTCTAGTCCCTGTCAGGGCGCCGGATTCTGTCCCGGTTGCCCCTCTTCCAAACCAGCTCTCTGCTGTGGCCCAGGAGTGCAGTGGAGGATGGCCCAAGTGCTTGGGCCCTGCACCCCATGGGAGACCAGGATAAGTACCTGGCTCCTGCCATCGGATCAGCGCGGTACGCCGGCCGCGGCGGCCATTGGAGAGTGAACCAACGGCAAAAGGAAGACCTTTCTCTCTGTCTCTCTCTCTCACTGTCCACTCTGTCTGTAAAAAAAAAAAAAAAAAAAAAAAAGAATCAGAGTGTCAGTGGACAAAAGAGCATTCTCAGCTCTTGGCGTTTCCACGTGTCCAAGCACATGTTCACAAAGGTTTGCAGAAATCAAAATGCTTCCTCACTTGAGGAGTTAGCTGTTTAAAACCTGAAACCCTACAAGTGCTATAAATTCATGGGGCTTTGTGTCATGGTCTTGAATGAGCAAGCACCAGTGTTTGACATCTGATCTGTCATTCTTTCTTAGAACAATTTTTACCACAGTCACTATCAACTCTGCCTCACTTAGTGGGGCTTAGAAACTCCAGTTCAGGTGCTGGCATTGTGGTGCATACGTTGCCATGTGAGCATCGGTTCAAGTCCTAGGTGCTCCACTTCAGATCCAGCTCCCTGCTGATTTGCTAGGGAGAATCAGAATGAGGCCCAAGTGCTTAAGCCTCTGACAGCCACTGGGAGACCCAGATGAGGTTCCAGACTCCTGCCTCCAGTCTGGCCCAGCCCTCCCAATGTAGATATTTAGGGAGTCAACCAGAGGATGGAAGATCCCTCTCTGTTGCTCTAATTCTGCCTTTCAAATAAATCTTAATTTAAAAAAAACTGTCAGTTCAAAACTCTACTTTCCCCCTTTCCTGGATCCCACTCTCCTTCTCCCAGCTGTCGGTTCCAAGGACGTACAGGGAAGCAAACTGGAAGAATAACCCTAGAGAGAGCCATCGTACAGAAGTTTCTGCTGTTAGGTGATTCTCAGTGTCTCTCCCACACAAGGCGTTTCAATGATCCTTCTCCAATCTCCTAAGACAGCAGAGAGAACCTTGGCTCTCACTGTGCCGAGTGAGTTCTGGATCCACGCAGTAAACTCTTGGGAGTGAGCACCTCCTCACGACCGGCTTTGTAAGATTGACTCTAAGTTGAAATGCCATGCAGCCCTGGATGACCATGCTGCCTTCTAAACCCAACAAACTGAGGCTTTAGGTCATCAAGACAGGGAGTTCTGATCTTCATTTCCTGAAAAGAATCATCAAAGAGCACCTGCCTCCTCCTTGTCCTGCTTCCTCTCACTGCATTCAGGAGGTCTGAGCAGATCCAAATGGCACAGGGCCCAGACTGGCTTCATTCAACAAGTACAAGTGTGCAGGTGTGCCAACAGGGTGAGTGCCTAACCTGTCAAAGAGGGTGACAGGCCAGGCAAACAGCTCACAAGAAAGGGGCTCAGTTTGAGGGCTTGTGTTGCCATCACCAGGCTAGGACGTGTGACCCAGGCAAAATACCTCAGCACAATGTTCGTTCACATTTAAAATGTAATAGGAAGAATTTTTCTTAAGGAAAAATATCTAAAGAAGGATCACCAGTTTACGGAACAAACTATGAACACTGCACTACAGACCAGGAGGAAATTCATTGATTTTTCTCCATTCTCACCCTTTCAGCCTGTTCTACTAAGGGTTCTGCACCCACCTCTGAATGTTGTCTTGGGACACAATTGCTTTTCTGTTTACATTTGTGCATTTCATTAATCTTATGTGAAAGCTAACACAAGCAGAATCTGATACACATAAATAAATTGATGCGTAGCCATGTTAAGTGGTTTCTCTCTGATGATCCCAGCCCGGAGCCAGGCTGAGGGGGCTGCAGTGGGGAAGGAGTGTGTGTTTGGACGTTTTGTTCTCCCTTCACAATGATCTTCACTCCCCCACCAGACCCAGACATGCTTCTTGTTTGTTCACAGGTCTTCAGTGTTGGAGCTCTGCACAGATGCCTCCTTTGTCTGGTTTCCAAAATCTGTGTCTTTGATGATTTATTCATAAAGACAAACCCGTTGAGAATTCTTACAGTGCCCTGTTGTCAAAACTGGTGGCTGGCTTACAGCTGGTCCCAGTGGTTCCCCACTGTCCTTTTCTGGGACTGGGGTCTCCTTTAGCAGGAAGTCTTCTCAGGCAGAGCTGGTTGTGCCAGTTCCATTTCAGACACATGGCATGATGTTCAGTCTGGCACACGTATGGCACTATGCAGTTATTTCCTGTGAAACTCTGAACGGATCGTCTCTACAAGTCTTTTGTTTTTTTCTGGCCTGTGAGCTAGGAACTATAAAGAAGGCTTCAGTGTTAAGTTCAGTCACACAAATGGGACAGAGCTCTCCCTTCTGGTAGACAGCCCTCATCCATTTACAAGTGTTTCTCACTTGATCTTGGCCGAAAGGCCGAGAAGCGATTACATGTGGTTCTCATGGAGCTCCCTGGACTTACGCAAGTGGAGCTCACCATTCTTACCCTGTCTGTGGAGAAGGGTGGGAAAGCACTTAGTCTTCCCTGCTAAACCACCGGCTGCTCTCAGACTCTGCTTATCTATCCACACAGCTAGTCTTCAGCCCCCTGCCACTAACATGCACTGGAGATGGGCCACACCCACATTCTCAGGGGCAAGCTGACCACATCTTATTTATTCCTGTGTTGAGGACTCTGGCAGCCCACTGTACAATGTAATTGTCTCCCATTAGCCCAGCTCATGAGCAACAGGAAGAGGCCCATGTCACAGGCTAGGACATAATCAGATACATGTGTGGGTAAAGGACATGGAGGCAGCATTTGCAGCCACACGTAGTCGCATCCTTTCTTTCTGGTGCATTGTGCACCCTTGCAGCGGCTCACTGAGGAAAAAGTGAATCATGTGTCCTGGTTCAGGGAGGATTCGTTGCTGAATGCTCTAGGGAAGGACTTCAATGAAAAGGCAATTTCAGAAAGGTTGGCCAGGTTACGTGAATGAACAGGGCTTGTGAGGCACCCGGAAGGAAGGAAGTGTGAAAAGCCTTTTCCAACCCTAGGGTAGAAAGAAGAGAGAGGGAAAGAAATGCTTTCCTAAAGCCCCGTGAAGATTGGCACAGTTGACAGAGCCATGGGCAGGGCTGGGATCGGCGATGGCCGAAGCTCCCATCAGCAACACAGCCCTGGCAGGAGGCGACAGAGGGGCAATGTCCTCACCTCTCTCGCTTCTCCTCTGCACACGGCTGCTGGTGCCTCCGATGGCTGCATTGTGAGTGCTGGAAGCTGTGGGATCTCTGCTGATGTTTGTATATGGCTGTCCACCAAGGACACAGAGTGAAATGGGAAGGATAGGGTAGATCTGGAGAGAGACAATGTGAATAAATCCCTAGGGTTGTTCCTTACACTCCTCACCTGCGCTGCTACCTGTGCAAAAGTGATCCTCAGGGCAGACAACGTGGCTCCCCAGGTTCAGCTGCAGCTTGGACACCTGCATCCCAGCCCCACCTCTGCTTCCAATCCAGCTGCCTGCTAATGATCCTGGGAGGCAGCAGGTGATGGTCTAGGTACTTGAGTTCCTGCCACCCACCTGGGAGACCTAGATGGAATTCATGGCTCCTGGCTTTGGCCTTGACCGTCTATGGTTTTGTAGGCATTTTTCTTTTCTAAAGATTTATTTAATTTAAGGCAGAGTTATAAGGGGTGGGGTGGATAGTGATCTTCATTTGCTGGCTCACTTCCCAAAAGACCATGTCATCTAGGGGTGTGCTGGACTAAAGCCAGGAGCCAGGAGCTTCATCCAGTTTCCTCAAGTGGATACAGGGGCCCAAGGACTTGGACCATCTTCTGCTGCTTTCCCAGGTGCATTAACAGGGAGCTGGATGGGAGGTGGAGCAGCCAGGGCACGAATCAGTGTCTGTATGGGAAGCTGGGTGTTGCAGGTAGTGGTTTAACCCACTGTGCCACAGCGTTGGTCCCTGTTGCAGGCGTTTAAGAATGAACCAGTGGATGGAAGACTTCCTTGTGCATCACTTTTCCTTTCAAGTAGATGAAAAATAAATTTTTTCAAGAATGTTTTTAAAGCTTTTTTATTTATTTGAAAAGGTTACACAGAGAGGAAGAGACAGAGAGAGAGAGAGAGAGAGAGAAAATCTTCAATCTGCTGGTTCTCTTCCCAAATGACCCCAACAGCCAGGGCTGGATCAGGCCAAAGCCAGGAGCTTCATCCCTGTCCCTGATGTGGATGCAGGGTTCAAACTCTTAGGCCATCTTCTGCTATTTTTCCAGGAGCATTAGCAGGGACCTGGATGGGAAGTGGAGCAGCCAGAATACAAACCAGTGACCATATGTGATGCTGGTGCTGCAGACGGCGGCTTAACTTGCTACACCACAGTGCCAGTCTCCATGTGTTCTTAAAAAGGGTTTTTCAGGGGCCCGCACTGTGATGTAGTGGGTAAAGCTGCTGTCTGCAGTGCCAAATCCCATATGGGCTCCAGTTTGAGTTCCAGCTGATCCACTTTCAGTCCTGCTTCCTGCTAATGCTCCTGGAGAAGCAGTGGAAGATGGCACAAGTACTTGAGCCCCTGCACGCACGTGGGAGACCCAGAAGAAGCTTCTGACTTTGGGTCGGCCCAGCTCCAACCATGAACCCGTGGGTGAAAGATTCTTTCCCTTTCTCTCTCTCTGCCTTTCAAATAAATAAATAAATAAGCCAGTCCCCAAAGACAAATACTATGGTTTTTTTTTTTGACAGGCAGAGTGGATAGTGAGAGAGACAGAGAGAAAGGTCTTCCTTTTTGCCATTGGTTCTCCCTCCAATGGCCACCGCGGCCGGCGTGCTGCGGCCAGCGCATCGCACTGATCCGAAGCCAGTAGCCAGGTGCTTCTCCTGGTCTCCCATGCGGGTGCAGGGCCCAAGCACTTGGGCCATCCTCCACTGCCTTCCCGGGCCACAGCAGAGAGCTGGCCTGGAAAAGGGGCAATCGGGACAGAATCCGGTGCCCAGACCGGGACTAGAACCCGGTGTGCCGGCGCTGCAGGCGGAGGATTAGCCTATTGGGCCATGGTGCCAGCCAATACTATGGTTTTTTAAAAAATGATTTTCATAATCTCAATTTTATGTGGAATCAAGAATACTCAAGCTCTCAGAAGCCAAGTGTAGGATAGTGGTTGTCTGAGGCTAGGAGAGAGGGAAATGGGGTAAGATGGGCAAAGGATACAAAGTATTCTTTTTGCAAGATGAATAAATTCTGGAAATCTAATATACATCATGATTATGATCATTAGGAAGACTGTATTGTATGTTTGAAATTTGCTGGAAGATAAATCTTAAATCACCTCACTACACACACACATTGACTTAGGTAGAGGTGATAGGTATGCTAATTAGCTGATTGTCATTCTCATTGAACACAGTGTTCATATATCAAAACATCCTATTGTGTACCTGAAATACATACAATATTTATAAGTCAATGATATCTCAATAAAGCTGTTGAAAGAGTCAACACACAGAGAGGTTACAGTGGCAACTTCTTTGGTTTTATTTCCAGTGTTATAGTTTTCTGGAAACAAGCTGCATCATTAGTGTGTTTGTGCCCTCGGCCGCTTTGAAGCAGAGTTGATAAAGACAGGGCCAGGAAAGCTTCAGATATTCCCTTCTCTGAAAATATTTGCCACATTCTAAACGTATCAGTGAAAGTCCCTGATTTTGTTGATTTTTGTTTTTGTTTTGCTTTGCTGTTTGTGATGGAACTGGTGAGATGATTATTAGCAAAGAAGACTGGAAAGAAAGCATTATGTGTATCATTTACACAAATACTGTGTATATGTGTATAGTAATTTCCTCATTTCTGGATTAGTTTTCTCACTTCCTTCTTGCCTTGTGAGATAAATATGTACCATTCTTCCTCCCTCCACACTATATTTTTAATAATAGTGAGCGTTCTCAGCCAAGTCAAGCAGAAAGTCACGTTACCATATACCCCTGAACCCCCCCCCCCATTCCATACACATACACACACACACTCACACACACAGACACTCAGACACACACACCACTCCCACCCCAGGGGTAGATTGGTCACAATGGATGAACCAACACTGACACATCTTTATCTCCCAAAGTGCATAGTTTACATAAGGGCCCACTCCTCGTGTCATACATTCCGTGGGTTTGGACAACTATGTAATGGCACGAATCCCCCATTGTAGTATCACACACAATGTTTCACTGTCCTAAATTACCTCTGTACTCTACCTAGTCACCTTCTCTACACCTTAACCCTTGTCCGCAACTGACCTTTTTCTTATTTCTGTAGACTGAGCTTTCCAGAATGTCACATGGTTGAAGCACATTGTAGGCAGCCCTTCCAGACTGGTTTCTTTGCACTTGTAATATACATTAAATGTTCTTTGGTCCATTCTTTGTCATATTAGATTAACAGTAGGGTCATGCAGGGATGGGTTCTGGATACCAGTTTCCCAGGGCTGCTAACGTCTTAGAGGAGATTGTCTTTTCCAGACATCCTCTCAAGAGAGTGTTGTGTAAAGAGTAGGATGTGAGGCTCCCAAGAGTTCAAGGATGGAAGATGAACCAGTGAACTCCATGTAGTGCAAGGAGAATGCAGTCACCTTCGGGGCAGTGATTTTTCTGGACAGAGCATGTAAACTGGAACCAGAGTGGACTTGCTAGGGACTCAGATATCAGAATTTGCACACAAGCACTCCACTTTTTAAGTTGTCTTACACTGTACTAAGCCTCTGCTACAAGTAATGGTACTCTAAGAATTGAAAGAATACATATTTTTTAAAGATGTCAAGTTATTAGCATGCCTGATTGCCTACATGTCTTGAAACAGCCAAGAGAGATGTTATTAGCACAATCTAAGAGAGGGACCAACAACTTTAGAAGGTTGAATTCTTATTCCAATCCTTATCTTCACTTGAACCATATGTTTTGGTGGCTTTTCAGTTTTCTCTTTGCACGATTGGTAATACATAATTTCTAGCATTGATGGAGGTCATGGAACAACATCTAGGGATATCTTTGCACTGCTTCAGTAACCTGGTCTGTAAGAAGTGTGGTGTAGTCAGATTGCCACTAGTAGATTCTTATGTGGGTTTTTCTGAAGCACTCCCTAACAAATTATGCTTTTCATGAAAGATTCTATACAATTAAGTTACTTTTACATAATAAAAAGTTCAAAGAAAGCAGGAGAGATAAGAGCAACAAGAAGTTGAATGATTACATTGACGAAATGGATCTAAACTTGAAGCATGAAGAAGCCTTAAATCACTAAAAATTAATAAAACCACTACATTAAAATGGCTTTTGGACATGAGTCCCAAAATTTAAAAAAAAAAAAATTGAAAAGCAATAGGGTATCTGAAGATATGTGCCCATCAAATAAAATATGTGGCCTTTAATGACATTTTTATTGCAACTAAAATGGAACAAAAAAATAGAAGCAAGCAAATAAGGGCCAGTGCTGTGGCACAGTAGGCCAGACCTGTGCCTGTGCCACCGGCAACCCATATTGGTGCAAGTTCGTGTCCCAACTGCTCCTCTTTTGACTCGGCTCTCTGCCTATGGCCTGGGAAAGTAGTGAAAGATGGCCCAAGTGCTTGGGCCCCTGCACCCACGAGAGAGACCCAGAAGAAGTTCGTAACTCCTGGCTTCAGTTCATCCCAGTCCCAGCCACTGTGGCCATTTGGGGAGAGAGCCAGTGGACGAAGACTTCTCTCCCAATGAATAAATAATAAATGAATAAATAAAATCTTAAATGAATGAATAAATAAAATCTTAAATGAATAAATAAAATCCTTTTTTAAAAAGCAAGCAAACCAAATGCTGCAATGCCAGTTAGGGAAATTTGACACAGATTAGGTGGATGACAGTTATGAATTATATTTTTGTGATAACACTGCAATAGGTTCATATAATTTCAAGAAACACACTGAAGGCTGTTTGCGAGGAATTTGATAAAGGATGGCTTGGATTTGTTTTAGAGTAATCCTGAAGGGTTAGAGGAAATAGCATTACCCAAGTTTTGATGGTTGTTGAAGCAGGTTAACGACACATTATTCTCCCTAAATCTGAGTTTTAACATTTCAATAGCAATTTAAGAGATGGGAGAAAGATATGTAAATTCATCTGGGTCAGGACATGACTGAGGGAGACAACTCTGAGGCCACACCACTTTGTTAGAAGAAAAGCACAAAGATGCTCTAGCACATCAACCTCATTGGCTCTCCTCTCCTTCCTTTCTTGTAGGTCTTTTATTTGCTCACAGTCATGGGTGCAATTTTCTCAGCCGAGCCTAGCAAAGAATGCCAAGATCTGGAATCCAGCTTTAAAGACTATATTAATAACTTCAGGGAGGAAAACAAAATCCTCTCTCAGGAAACCATCCTTTCAATCGAGTCATGCCTGAGCAGAGGAGACATTCAAGGCGCACATTCCATAATCAGTGGTACATTAGAAAATATTGACAAGATCCCACTGAATGTTGCTGTGACGGGGGAGTCGGGATCTGGGAAGTCCAGTTTGGTGAACTCCCTGAGAGGGGTGGGACACGAAGAAGAAGATGCGGCTCCCACTGGGGTAGAGGAGACAACCATGAAGGAAATGCCATACAAACACCCGAAATTTCCCAACGTGACAATATGGGACTTGCCTGGCATCGGAACCACTAATTTCCAGCCGAAAGATTATCTGGAGAAAGTCAAGTTTGGTGTGTATGACTTCTTCATTATTGTTTCTGCAACACGCTGCAAGAAAAATGACCTAGACCTGGCCAAAGTTATAAAAGCTATGAAGAAGAACTTCTACTTTGTGAGAACCAAGGTGGACCTGGATTTACAAAATGAACAGGAATTTAAACCAACTACCTACGTAAGAGACAAGGTCTTAGAAGTGATTTGAAACAAATCTCTGAAGCAATTTCAGAAGAATAATATTGAAACACAAATCTTCTTAATTTCTAACAGAGATTTGTCTGAGTTTGATTTCCCAATCCTGAGGGACATGCTACTAAAGGATCTCCCTGCTCAGAAGCGCCACGCGTTCATGCTTTCCCTGCCCAACATTACTGAGGCAGCCATTGATAGAAAGAGGGACTCACTAAAGCAAACTATCTGGCTAGAAGCCTTCATGGCTGGATTTTCGGCTACCATTCCTGTAGTGGGCATCATACAGGACAATGATGTGAAGAAGCTGGATGACACATCTCTGCAGAGTCTGGCTAAGGATTTGCAAGTGCCTGTGGAAGAACTCAAAGCTGTTATTAAGTCTCCCTATTTGTTTGACACTGAAAAGGAAGAAACAACAGGGGAAATGGCTTTGAAATTCTTGGAGATTTCAAGTTCAGTTGCTTTCCCTCCTCTTGCTGCAGGCCTTTACTTTAGGAAAGTCTTCTACCTACAATTACATATCCTTGACACGGTGACCAGTGATGCTAAAGTTCTGCTAAAAAAGGCATATTCCAAAAAGTGTTGACTTCTCAGTAGACTAAAATCCTCTGAGTGTTGAAATCCAAATTTGTGGAGAAAAATAGCACAGTGGAAGCCACCAAACAATATAAAGAGTTTCTTGAGAGCATCCACCATTGACTCATACTTTCCGACTGCATATCCCTGTTAGATGGACTAAGGGCCTGGGATAAGTTCAAATATGGGCAGAGCCAAATACACGCATCCACTTCCAATAAACCAGCACATCAGATGATTTTACCTTCATCAGAAATTTAATGTAGCTGTCACCTTGACGACCTGACAGTAGCTCCTTGAAACCCAGTTGTACCCTATCCTCTTCAACCTAGTAAAAACTTCCTTCCTTTGTGGTTGTTTGTGATACAGCCTGACTTTCTTGCATCTCCCAGACCCAGATCTGATACACGCGCTGATGCTGACCGTGATAAAGCCTGTTGGTCAACAGCTGAGTCATATGGGTGAGCTCCCTCTTCTCACTGTCTTCTAAAGCAGCTAACCTCCAGTCCCATGGGAAGGCCTGCAGGATGGCACTCGTGGCCCTTAACGGAGGCCTGGCCCCACAGCTTCACTCTTTTTCCTTTTTTCCTGCCCACTGTTTGAGCTCCATATCACGTCTGGACTTCCTGTTAACATCCTTCCTAACCTCTCTGAATCTTGTGAGAACTCAGTTTCTTCTGGTTCACGCACTGTAGTCTTCCTTTTGACTCAGCTGACACACACGGAAACCTAGTCAGGGCCATCTTGGAACCGATTGTCCTTCATGGCCACTTTCAACAGAGGTCTCAAAAGCCAAATAGTAAGAACTTGTATCACCATGGAAATCATAATAAAGTCATAAGAATGCTTTTGGATCAGAATCCTTCCCAAGAAAGTAATTGAAGAAAACCTGTGATTCTGTGCTGGGAACTGTGGAGACCTTATGAATTTATAAAATGTTGGCATTCTTGGTCTTTTGAATGTCAAGAGTGGTCAGCAATTGCTTTAGTCCACTTGTGATCCCAGTAGGTGCTCAATATATGATTAGTGAAAAAAGGTATTTGCCATTGCTATGTTGCTATTCTCAATAAATTCAAGAGTACTTCATATTGATTGCTGTCAGAGTTATTTTTGTTAATGATAATGTCCTTACCTATTCTGTTTCATCACTTTATTTTCCTCAAAATGAAATACCAACCAACAACGAAAAAAAGTACCCAGGCTAGAAAAACTGCAAGAGAATGAATATGAAGGGTGAAATGATTCCATGGTAAGAGGCAGTTTGGTTCAGGCTATTGCAATACCATGGACTACATGAATTAAACAACAGAAATGTATGTTCACGTTTCTAGAGACTGAAGTGGGCGACCTTTGTACCAGCATGGTTGTTGGGTCCTTGGGGCAGGTATTCTTCCCAGTCGTGTCCTCACATGGCCTTCCTTGGTACATAGGTTTCTGAGATTCCTTTGTGTGCTCCATTTGAGCAAGGGCATCAGTTCCATCATTAGGGCCCCTTCCTCATGACCTACCTTAACCCTAATTATGTTCCAAAAACCCTCCCTCTACTATGATCTCTTTAGGAGAAAGGTTATTAACATGCAAATTTTGGAGAAACAAACATACCATGCATAACAGGTGGGTTATACAAATTTTGCATAGGATTGAGTTCCTTTCTTATTAGAATCTGTGCCAGTTCTTATCTGACCAACATCATACACTGTAAAACATTTTAAGAAGTAACTCAGATACAAGTTGAGTATGCCTTTATCCAAAATGCTTGGAACCAAAAGCGTTTCACATTTTTTATTTTGGAATATTGTCGTATACATAATGAGCCAACTTGGGGATGAGACCCAAGCATAAATACAAAATTGACATAAGTTTCATATACATATTAAACACATAGGCTAACCTAGATAAGTACAGCATTTTTACCTACGTTTTGACTGTGACCCATCACGTGAGGTCAGATGTGGCCCCTTGAGGGCCCCCTAGGCTGCGTTACATCATGGAGGGCACTACGATGCAGAGGTAAGTGCAAGACAGAGAGAGAGAATCATATCACCAGTCAGGGATAGATACACAGAGACTGCAAAGCTGGGAATTTCCTATTTAACGGTCCTCTCACAAGAAAACTCAGGGTTCCCATGAGAATTCCCTTACTCTCTTCTGAGGGCACACCCCCAGTCACCTAAACATCTTCATTCTACAAGATCAGACCTCAACATTGTCACACTGAGGACCAAGCTCTCAGTACACAAACCTTTGGGAGACAAACTCAGCCCATAACCAAACCATAGCAAACAAACCAACAAACAAAAGTAGTAGAAAAGGGGGGAAATCTATGAAATGAGAGAACAAAGCTATAACAGAAAAACAAGTTGACAGGGAGAAGAGAAAACAAGAATTGGTTTGGCAGTAGGGTGAGGCCTGTGGACTGTGGCATTAAGGTGATGAGCTCAAGCCTGGATACGCAGTGTAACACTACTTCCACAATGCCTTTGCTTTGCAGTCTCTTGACACTTGAAGGAATAATTGTTCGTTCTATGTAATATTGTCGTATCAATGACTATAGGATAGGCTTGCTTCAAATATACTAAATGTTTAATAAACATAAGCAATGTATCTCCTTGCAGAGATTTGTGCAATTCAGGAGGATCAAGGAAGAAATCTGGGAAGAAGAAATGCATTATTCTAAGTCATCCTCACACTTCATTGGTTTGTGGACTCTAATGGCTCAGTGAGTAATAGCAGTGATTAAGATCTGAGTAGGGGTCACAGAGAAAGAGGTGGAAACAATGTTACCTATCCAGACAGGTGCTGTCTGTCATACTTGAATTCCCTCATGGTAGTGCCTTTGAAACGTCTCTATGTGATTTCACCTACAAACAAGCAACAAATGAGTGCATGCTCCTAGATAGCCACAAGAGCCAAAAGGAATAGTCATTAAATCTGACTTTTGTGACACAGGTGCCACCTCTCTAGGCCAAGACACCAGCACTTCTTCCTGGATTATTTTCAGTCTCAAATGGCTTTCCCAGTTATGCACTTTCACTTTTGCAATCATTCTTCTTGTAGCTCAGTGGTCCTAAGACAACCAGAAAGAACACTGCAGGAGTCAGCACTGCATCCAATGCCAGCATCCCATATTGCTGTGCCAATCTGAGCCCTGCTACTCCACTTCCCATCCATCTCCCTGTTATGTACCTGGAAAGTGAGTGGACAATAGACCAAGGAGTTTCTGGCTCGTGTCTTCAGTCTGGCTCTGTACCAGCTGTTGTAGCCTTTTGAGGAGTGACCCAGTAGATGAAAGATTCATAGTCTCTCTCTCTCTCTCTCTCTCTCTCTATATATATATATATATATATATATGTCTCTGATTCCTTTCAAATAAATAAATAAATTTTCATTCTTCTGTGGGTGGATATCCAGTTTCTCCAATATTGGTTTTGAAGAGACTTCTCTTTCTCCACTGTGTGTTCCCAGCACCCTTTCCAACAATAAAGTGAGCCTAAATGCATAGGTTCATTTCTGGCCTCTCCGTTCTGTTCCAGTGGTTATTGTTTCTGTTTAGGCTAGTCTCAAGCTTTGTGACATAGTTTGGCTTCAACTTTGAACTTTGTGCTCAAGAGGGCTTTGGCTGTTCAGTGTTTTCTCTGATTTTATATGAATTTCAGGATTACTTCTTTCCATTTCTGTAAAAATGACGTAGGCATTTGGATGACGATTGCATTGAATCTGCTTTGGATAGTATGGACATTTTAATAATGTTAATTCACCCAATCTACAAACATGGAATCTTTTTCCTTTTATTTGTGTCTTATTCCATTTCTTTCATTAAAGTTTTATCATTTTCAGTGCACAGAGCTTTCACTGTTTTGGTTATATTTATTACTAAGTATTTTTGGACCTATTGTAACGGGCATTGTTTTCTTGATTCTTTTTCAGATAGTTTGTTGTTGGTGCATAAGAATTCCCCTGAGCTGTGTGTGCTGCTTTAGTATCCTGAAACTTAGCTGTGTTTGCCTATTATTTCTAGCAGAGTTTGGTTCATTCTTTAGGATTTTCTGTGCACAAGCTGATGTCACCAGTAAGCAGCAACAATTTCACTACTTCTTTTCCTATTTTGATGCCTTCCATTTCTTCCTCTTGCCTAATTGCTCTGCCAGTGGCCTCCTGCTACTGCTTTGTATATGTTAATTTCATATCTTGCATCTTTTTATTTCACTTATGGGTTCTAATACATTTTTATGTGGTCTTTAGAGTTTGCGTATATAAGATCCTGTCATAGGGATGGGCATTCAGCCTAGCGGTTCTTTTTTTTTTTTTTTTTTTAAAGATTTGTTTATTTTTATTTGAAAGAGTTACACAGAGAGAAGAAGAGGGAGAAAGAGAGAGAGAGAGAAGAGGGGGGAGGTCTCCCATCTGCTAGTTCACTCCCCAGTTGGCCACAACGGCTGGAGCTGCCCAGATCTGAAGCTAGGAGCCAGGAACTTCCTCCGGGTCTCCCACATCAAGAAAGGGGCCCAAGGACTTGGGCCATCTTCTATGGCTTCTATGGCTTTCCCAGGCCATAGCAGAGAGCTAGATTGGAAGTGGAGCAGCTGGTTCCTTATGGGATATGCTTCCATATGGGATGCCGGCACTGCAGGCTGCGGTTTTACCCACTTCACCACAGCGCTGGCCCCAACCTAGCAGTTCTGACACCAGTCAAAACACCCATGTCCTATGTCAGAGTGCCTGCATTCCATCCCCAGCTTCAGCTCCAGAATGCAGCTACCTGCCAGTGAAGACCCTAGGAGGCAGCAGTGATGGTGGAAGTAGTGAGGTCTGGATTGGTTTCCCAGTTCCCAGCTCAGCCTGACCCATCCCTGGTTTTTGTGGCATTGTCTCCATCTCTCTGCCTGTCATGTAAACAAACAAATAATGAATCAATCCGTGAGGCAATTTTGCTTCTTCCTGATTCAGTGTTTGTTGTGGGTGTTTTTTTTTTTTTTTTTTTTTTTTTTTTTTTTTTTTTTTTTTGTCTAATAGCTCTGGCTAGGACTTCTAGTACTAGAATGAATAGAAGTGATAAGAACTGGTCCTCTTGCTCTGTGTAGGATCTCAGAGGAAGCTTTCAGCTTTTCTCCAGTTGGTTATAATGTTAGCTGTGGGCTTTTTACAAATAGCTTTTGTTGTGTTGAGGTAAGTTTCTTTTATACCTGTTTTGTTCAGAGTATTTGTCATGAATGTATGTTGAACTTTGTCAAATGCTTTATCTTTCTGGTCCTGTTATTTTCATCTTGCATCCTGTTAGTGTAATGTATCACATTAATTGAGTTTGAAATGTTGAAATCTTCTTGGGTCTCAAGGATTAATTGTCCCAACCATGGTGTATTATCCTTTTAATGAGGTGCTCAAGTTGGTTTGCCATTATTTTATTAAAGATATTTTGCATCTGTGTTTCTAAGGGATGTTGGCCACAAGTTTTCATATGTTTTAGTGGTTTTTTTTTTTCTGATTTTGTAATCAGAGTAATGCAGGACTCCTTAAATGAGTTTGAAAAGGTACCCCATTTTCAGTATTTTGGAAGAGTTTGAGAAGGATATATCATTAATTCTTTTTTAAGTATTTGGTAGAAATTACCCATGAGGCCACCTAGTCCTTGGATTTTATAAAATGTTCATGTTCTGAATTAAGAGATGATAATGTACATAATTATTGTGTACAGTGTGATGTTGTGATTCACATATATTGCTGTTTGGATGTAGTCTGTCACCAAAAGCTTCGTGTGTTGGAAGTGTGGTCCTCAGTGTTCAGAGAGATGTAGAACCTTTAATATGTAGGGCCCAGAGGAGGTCCTTAGGTTTGGGGAATACTGTCATTGGAATGGATTAAGGTGGTTTTCATGGGATCCTGAATTAGTTCTTATGAGAGCATTGTTATGAAGGCGTGAGCCTGGGGGTCAGCATTGTGACATAACAGATTAAGCTGCCCCCTGCAATGCCATCCCATGGGGGCACCAGTTCACGTGACAGCTACTCCACTTCCTATCCACTTCTCTGCTAATGTGCCTGGAAGAGCAGTGGAAGATGGCCCAAGCCCTTGGGCCCTGCAACCATGTGGGAGAC